TGCAATGTAGTATAAAATGTATATTAACATGATTTCATGTCATGTATTCATATGTGGTTAAAAAAAAAAAAGGAAAATCTGCCTTTTAAGTTGCACTGAAAGTCTGTGAGAAGTCAGGAATAATATGCTGAACTATATTTTTATAGCTGTACTGCTATGTAAAAAAGGAACATAAGGACATAGGACAATTCCTCCTGGATCAGACAGTTGTCCATCTATCCTACCCTTCTGTCTCTGACAGTGGCAGTAGGAGGTGCTGTTTAGGGAGATCCCATGGACCTGGCCATTTTCCATCTTCTATTTTCCTAATACTACCCCAGCATCCAAAATTGTATTAGAGAGAGGTACATCCCTGCTTCATCCTTTCAGTATCTATTTATGAATTTATTGCCTGTTAATTTGCCTAATCCCTTTCTGAACCTCCTGAGATCATAGCATCTGGCAGGAGAGAGTCTCAGAAGCTCTTTACCAACTCTTAAATTACCGTCTCTTAAAGTACTCTCTCTTCTACCAGCTTTAAACTGCTCTCCTATTAGTTCTTGTATTTCAGGATTTGGTGACCAATAGTTCTTCAGTCACTTTATCTACCACCTTCGTGATTCTGTAAACCTTGGTCATCTCATCCCTTGGCCTCCTTCTCTCCAAACTGAGAAGTCCAGGCCATTTTAATCTCTTCATAACCGTTGATCATTTTAGTTGCCCTTCTTTGGACTTTCTCTAAATCCATGAAAGGAAAAAAAACCCCATCAAAAAAGATAGAACAAAACAGAGAAATACGTGTGAGTGGCTACATGTGAAGTGTTTATGCAGTAGTACTCACAGAGACCATTTGTTCAGATCCTGTCTTGTTGCTTACTTCTGTAGTCTATGAAAGTGGGGAAATAATTCATGTAAGTATTTCAGAAAATTATTTAAAATTGTTGGGATGCCTTTTTGTAATATTTACTTGTAGTCCTTTAAGACTTCACCTGGATATTTCTGTTTATCTAGTAAAAGCTTTTCACACAGTAATTTTGAGTGATTTTTGAATTTACATGTAACCGTTCTGACCCTGACTTGGAAAAGTGCGTCCTGCCGTCTTACTTGATTTGGCTTCTCACACTATGTGATATTTCAAATTCATATTCAAAAGTGGTTCTCGTGACATCATTATTCCTACAGTCCCACATTGTTTTGAATAGTATTTTCTTTTCAGATGGAAGTCTTAAGTTTTCTACTTTTTCATTTTCTCCTCCTACATATGTTGCATATACTGTATTAACTAATTAAATAGATGCATTTGACTGTAAATGGATATGGGATGTCTACTTTTGCTGTCAAAGTACATATGTAAAACTTTGAAAATTTCCTTATGTAGTTAGGTTGGTAAACCTGACCATCTCTTTAGTGATTCCTGTAATACTGTGAGTCACTAGCAAATGTACGGGATTTTTTTTCTGTTTTTACATGCAAATTTGCAAAACAGTTTTCATATTGGAAAAATGTGGCTTTTAATCAGTCTTCATTGCAGTAAGAAGTTGAGATGGCACCTCAAGCTGTTAGGAGAAGCAAAAAGTACAGGCAGAGGCATAAGTATGGAGGAATGGAAATTGCTGAAAAAGATGCACAGTGACATATTATGATAAAGTTAATAGTTAGAGGTAAGGTGAACTGTAAAGAAAAGATATTAAAGTTAAGGAGAGGATTTTCTATTCTTCTGTATTATTCCTATTGGGACAAGGCAATGGCATCTTCTGTTGAGAGAAACACTATTTTTTCAGAAGACAGTTGTATCAGAACTCCATCTCTTGACAAAGACAACAGTAACTGATTGATTTTATTTACAGTACATGATTATCCCCTCTTACAGGTTAAGTAAGGTTGGAAGAAGGATTGGAAAAGAAGGTTAGATAGAAAAAACAGAGTGTGGAGACAACATCTGAGAGCAAGTCTCTAAGTACTTGCATTGAATATAAAGAATACCTTGGCCTGGTAAAACTGACAGTAACATTACGAGCCACCTATATAAACTTCAGTTATGTATGACAGTATTGAAAATGTAATTCCATCTTGTGAAAATAGGGATTGCAGGAGAATAAATGATGTTCAGCTGAACATCAGTCAGTCTCATGCCAGGAGCTTCAAGAAGAAGGGGTAATGGCTGCAAAGTCCCCACATGTAGTGAATGTTCAGAAGTTCGTAAGACTGATGTCAGGCAAATTTAAATGGATCAGTCCTTGAGACATTTGAGCTCTCTCAAAAAAAAAAAAAAAAAAAAAAAGTAGTGGCAGTAGTCTCATGCAGTCCTGAATTTCTAAAAATTTCAAGTCTTTGACCCTTAAAGATACTAAGTATGACTTTGTGTTGCCCAACCTGTAGTGCATGCTGTGAAATTCTTTGAATCCTTTGTTCTTTGATACTGCTTTCAGAAGGATTCAGGGTGCATTGCACGGTCACACATATGAAGTGATGAGACTATCTATTGAACTACTAACAACTTTCTCAAGCTTCAAACCTTTTCTTGGCAAACATCATTTCTTTTAAAGGTCTTACATGAACCGTTCACTACCTTCTTAACATTAAATACCTTTTCAAACAATCCTAATCAAACATCCTTTGCACTGTATCATTGCATAATATGAAACATGAAGTCAGCTATTTCATATTTCTCCTTCATTATAAGTGCAGTCAGTACAGACTTTCCATATGTCTAGATATCTGCATGCTAAATTGCAAGAAAAACAAATGATTTCTTTGCTTGAATAAAAGAAAAGCAATAGCTCTATTATCAGAGGCAGGCTGAGTGATAGCTTTATTTGGATTCCAGTCTATTAGTTCATCTCCATGAATGACCAATTATGATTCATCTTTCCAAATAGCAGTTATTTAATAAATCCTGCCAGAGAGCATAGCAGTGGAACTGAAAAGCTGTCATGGAGCCCTGCCAGTAAAGGCACTGATGCAGTTTCAATATATCTGTGCATAATTTAACCCCCTTGTTGCATGTATTGAAGGCATGCATTCCAGTACTCTCACATTTAAAATCCTTTAATTAAGGATGCTACTCCTTGTCTCTTGCATATATTTAGAGTTCTAAAGAGGTGCTGTTTTTAAAGTATTCAAGGGATTTAATTGGACCCTTCATAGCATATAGTAAAAGTTAGCTTTTCTCTTCAGAGACCTTTAGTTTTTGCGACATAAGATGTTTATTTTACTTAGTCATTATGATAACAGGTGCTGAAGTTCTGGGATCTCCTTGTTCTCCAAGTTAGCATTTAATAATTTTCTTTCCACACTTGCTTTTGCAAACTGTGTCTGTTACAGAAAGCGATTCCTTGGTTTGTCTTTACAATCAGACCCCGGGCACCCTCCACTGAGTATTTGCTTCCTTTTTTTTCGCTGGCTGAAAGGGCAGTATTTTTCTTTTTCTGCTTATGCCCTGTAGGAAAGGTAATTTCATAACTTTGAAAATACACTTTTGGGTAAGTGACAACATGCATGGCAAAGACTGTAATGGTAAAGTTGGACTTTTAAGGATAATGTTAGAGAGTGAAATGCCGATCTTTTAAAATGCTTTCAGCATTTCTGGAAATTAGTCCAATAATTTCAATTTGCGGCAAATATGCAACGCATACTCGTTAGTTTTCCATGATGATTTTTCATCATTTTCTTTCCGTTCACATTCCAAATAATCTTTGAACTGTTACAAGGCAATAGTAGTGATAATACTAGTCAAACTGCATTTTGCTTCCTTAAGAGAGGCTAGCATTTTGCCCTCTTAAAAAAGCTATGTAAAAGTGAAAATAAATAACACCTTTGGTTTCACAGGAGGCATTGCACATCATACCGTAAAGCTGTCTAGGCATGTCTACCATTCTGACAACTGAAACTTGCCATAGAAAGTTTTGCACTTGTCTCTTATGAGTCTGAAGATGCATGAATGAGAAAATGATCCTAATCCTTCCTTTCATATATCCTCTGCCATAACAATTTTTTTTGTGTAGTATGTGGGGAAAAAACACTTTCATATTCCTGGCAGTGTCCTGAAAGAAATGGAAACATCAGTGTTCTCCAGCATTTGCAGAAGATCCCCTATTGTCTCAGGACCCAATATGCTGCAGTCTGCTATTGCTACAGCGTGGTAGCATATACCACTGCTCAAACATATTCACAGTATCAGGAAACAAACTGAGCAATTGAAAATGCGCTCATCATTGTGAGTTAGAAGTCGATGTTTGCATACCATTTTTTCAAATCTGAAAGGTTAAATGCATTTGAGCATGAAAAAAATGTCAGAAATAAAAAGCAGAAGGGCTGCCTTATTAAAGAAGAAAAGCTAGGTTAAGAAAAAGAATGTTATAAGAAAGAAACCTTCATGACACTGCAACAGCATGAAAACTGAACTGGAAATAGTCAAATAATCAGTTCATAAGTAATCCACAGTCTTGTTAGATTACACAATACTTATAGTGAAAAGGATTGAGAGAAAATAACTGGGAAAAAATAGTTTGTATTTCTCACCAAAAGTTATTGATTTAAAACCTGAATTATTCAATATGAATAGGCCGATCAGCACTCATCTCAAAGATGCATGGACCTTAATCTACTGTAAATTACAGCAAGATTCACTTTTCTTTCAGTAGGATGAGAATCTGGCCTAAGAGAATCTAATGGTTTGCTAGCCCATTGTTCAAAACTCAATATTTTAGCTCTGTGAAGGCTAAATATTTGGGCTTAGTTTCCACATATCAGACACAGTATATGCCGCTACATGTGGAGTAAGAAGTTAAAATCCAAATGTTACCTTTATTTAATGGCGAACAATAAAGTTACAAAAAGAACAGCTAGTGAACATAGAAGACAACTTGTCAAACCTCATCAAATTTTTTATTGAAGTAGATCTCTCATTACTGTTATTTCAAGTGACTTGGTGTTTCTGAAGGAATATACTGCGATACTTTGCAACACAATTGCAGATGATGTTATCAGCATTTACTTAGGGAGATTTAATGGAACAGTACCTTTCTCTTAGCTTTGAGCTGCTCGTGATATTTGTCGGATGTGTCGCCTGGTATTTCTCCTCCCCAGAGGGTAATTCCCACTATGGAATAAGTGATGCCCATGACAAGCAGTGGAAAGCAGTAGACCAGCACAATCACAATGACATGATACCTGCAATGAAAAAGCATTAAGCTGATAAGTGCTTTCAGAGGAGCTATACCAATGGAATGGACTGCTAGAAGTCAAGAGTGCTGCTGTAGCACAAAGCATGTTTTATATTGACTGGCTAGTCCTCGGTGTTTTCACTGTCTTTTTGAAAGTCTTGAATCGCACTGCAAATTTATTTACATTTTAATGCCAGTGCTTTATGGGGTTTCTAGTTCTGGTTCTGAACTTGCACTAGCATAAATTAAGAATGACTCTATAGTTTTCATGATTAGTGACTGCAGAGTAAGGTATGTTTCTCCATAGCTAGCTGAACTGATTTAATTATTGCACAGCCAAGTATCCTAAGGGCAAGCTAGGCATTTTGAGCTCTAGTCTGGATCATAAATGAAAGAGGAGAATAAGTATTTAAATGGTATATTTATACAAAAGCCTTGATAAGTGTCCTGTGTTACCCAACGTACTTCATATGGCAGATCTGTCGCACATAGGCAACACAGATCTGTTGCCTATGTGCAACATAGTCATCAATGCTGATGTAAGCACTGGGAAAAAAACCCCAAAACTTCTTTTGCCTCCCGTTAGTTCCTGGTTAAATGCCATCTTTGGATAAAATCCCAGTGAATGATCAGTGAAGAATCCCCAGCCATCACTGAGAGTGCTGGGGATTCTTTCTCTGCCCTAAAGAGAAATATCCGTGCATGGCTCCTAAGGTGATAAAAATTATGTATGACCAGGGCCTCTTTCACCTGCCTGAAAGACAGCAAAAGGTCACATTTGATGCTGGATGGTTACACAGGCTTTCAGCCTTGAAAACAGAGTTCACCTTAAATGCCAATGAAGATATGAAAGGGCAGATAATATTTCTATGGCTAGGCAACCACTTATTCCTAATTCTGCCAAAGGGACAAATAGGATATATTCAATTTAATTGACTGTTATTCTACACTTTCAGAAACTGGAACCAGTTATAGGTTTTACGGTTTTCTTATTTGGACTGATATGTGAGATAAGTAATTGTAATAGTGTAACAGAATGAAGTGGGAAAATCCAACCCTCTCATTAAGAGATCCAGAGAAAAAAATCTGATTAGGACAAGGAGAGGCTGCAAATACTCGTTTTTCTGGTTAGCATGAAAAGGAAGCTTGCTTTGAATTGCATGTTCTGTCCCCATTTCTGATCATCTCTGTCTGTATGGAAGAAGCCATCTTAAGTGAAGCAATGATGGTAAACGTGCAGCATGAGATGGAGATCACTCATAGAAGTGGAAGAGAATAAATGTGTTCCACTTATCATTTAAAATGCTCTATTTTCCTAGCTTAGAAAACTTGCTTTACATTTCTCAGTGATCAATGCTGTTAGTTATTCTGCATGCAGAGTACCTGCGCGATACTCTACAGCTTTTGCGAAGTCCATTGCAAGTGTAGACACCACCATGCACAAGTTTAAAAGAACAAAAGCTTACGTAAAATGCTGTTTTGGACCACCTGGCCATGCTACATAGCAAAGAGTTCTCCCAGGCATCACCTTGGTTATGGAGTATAGGCACTGGGGAAAGGCCAACAGGAAAGCCAAAATCCATATGCTCCCAATGACCACCTTGGTAGCAGCTGCAGAGAGCCTAGGTTTCAAAGGATCAATAATGGCCATGTATCTGTAAAAGAAAGCAAAAACCTGTGCATAAGAAACCTTCAGAGATTAGGACGTATCTAGAATCAACCAAAACTTAGGGTTGGGAGAAGGATAAAAGAGATATTTGTCTTCCTGGAGTTCTGATGGCATTGTGCTCTTTGGGTGGTTCAGCCCCCATGAAGGCAGTGCTGGAAGAAAAAGAAGGTTCATTGAATATTATTTTAAAGCTGTGGGACACCCGGTTAACCATATGTATACCAGTAGAGCAACTATTCGTCAAAGAGTTAGTTAGTCTTGTTACTGCACAACCTGATTAAAAAGCAACAATACAGCCGGATCCTCTGTTACTCTGCTACATAATACAGGGTTTACCTCTAATTAAAAAATTAACAGTGAAGCTGTCAGGATTATTAGTCATCTGTCCAAAAGCTACAGCAACCTGATAAGTCCGCATGCCTTTATTTCAGTAGACATAGACTGACTTCGGACTATCTGCCAAAGAGCCCCAGACTGCAACTGGTTCATACAGAGACTGAGAGAGGAACCATATGAGTGTTTCCTCGGGCAATGTAGAAGTGATAAAAGCACCAAGAGAAATAGATGCATAAAGCATGAAAACATCTCATTTGCTTTCTCAGTTCCTGTGTTCTCGGGTGGGTCTTCTTGCTGCCCTATAATTGCATTGGCAATCCATGTATGCTGATACTTAAGAATAACATGCAAAAAATCATTAAAAAGTTTACTGTAAGTAACTACAATTTAAAAGCTTAGGAAAAAAGCGCAACAGGAAGGCATCAAGACAGACAGTAAAAGAAAAACAAGTCTTGTTTTCTGTCTTTTGATTTCTGTTATAGATGCAAGGAACAAGGGAGACAGAGATTTTGTATTTTATATACTCCATATCACATACTTCATGTGTTTTTCACATTTTTCTTAGCGTGACTGCTGCTTTGATTTCTGGGCTAACCCCTGAATTAACATATTTTCCACCAACTTCCCCGATCACACTAATTTGTTTCATTTAACAATGACCAAATAATGACTTGCAAAATCATTAATCATATTAATTAAATAGGAACACTATTCAAAATTTCTTCCACTATTAGGGAGAACACTGATAAGTATCAGCCAGAATCACATTTAAAGAAATTTTTGTATTTCCGTAAAACCGGGGAGATACTGGCTATATGTATATCCATATTGTGTTACTGATATAGCATACTGAATAACTAATTCCATGTTGTTTAATCGGACATCCTAATGTTTTCCAAAACAACACAAGGAAATGGTTTTTACCCTAATATTTCGGTTCAGATCCAGAGGGTTCCCAAAGTACATTAAAACCCCCTTTTATTCATGACTGAAACACAATGCTGTTTGTGAGTTAATGTAGGAGTTAACAGATCAGCAATTTAAATCAAGAAATTTCCATGGAGGTATTCAGTGTATCTGTGCTTATTCAGGAAACCAAAGATCTGCCCTTCTGCAGTCATTGGTAGCATTGACATTCTACACTGTGTTTCCCAAACCATTGCTTTTCTGAAATCAGAATTAGAATAGCAATGATTTAGAAGCTCCTCAGGAATAACCAGGGCAAGTCAAAAGGAAACTAACAAAATTAAATATTCTTTTCTGTGTTTCCTTGTGTTTTTTTGTTTTCATATTCTATGAAAACACCAGAAGCAGATAGAAAACTGGGATGAATATGAGAACCAGCTTGAATGTTTTACTAATGAAAGTTTTCCAGATTTCTAGGAGAATGTCTGGATCAGTTTCAACAGTGTCATCAGTCACAGGGATTAGTACTAATTCTGGAAGAAGCAAACTCATTGCCAAAGAATAATTATGGCCCATATACTTTCACTCTCTTTCACAGTACACATGTCCAGTTATCCGATCAACTTTGACGAGATTATTGGAGTGTATCAGTAATTTCCTAAAGGTCCTCTTTGTTTCCATTGTAGGTCACCAGCCTTCATGCCCAGTAACTGCCCTTGTCCCTCTCTGTTCCAGGTTTTAAATACAGTTAGAAAGTCACACCACGCCTATTCCAGCCTACATGTGTAGAGAAAATATTTTCAGAACTTTCCAGTATTGCTTCCCTCCTTGTGTCATTTGTACCTTCGGAAGGAATTGCAATAAGTAAAATATGTACTATGGCTCTTCACCTACTCTTCCTCTACATTTCTACCTCATATAAAGATGGATTGGGATAGATTCAGAGACTAATTTTGTGTGGAAAATTACATAGGCAGTAATAGGCACTGTATGGCAGGACTGTGGAAAAAAAATCACTTTGTCTCATCAGCATTTGTAGATTTTGTGCTATTGTTGAGACTTTAGGTGTTGCTGTGGGGCTTAGAAGTTATAAGATCAGTTTGGTTTACACTCACAGAGAATGAATTATTTTGTAGGTAAGCAAGCATAAATTAGTAGATCCTATTCCAAAGTGACACTAATATGTGATTATTATTTTTCTTGTCTATGTTTGTCCTTTCGACATTCATAGATAAAAAAATTTCAAAGCCATTCATGATGTTTACTTTTTGTGTTCTCATCTTCTGCCTTGGCTTTAGATCATGAGAACCGTTAGGTGACTGCTTGGGTATGTGCTTCCAAATCCAGGCAGGATTTGAATTGAAATCCATTGAAATCAATGGATAAGCTGTCACTGATTTGAATCAATCCTTTTTTTGATGAATAATTTCTGTTCTGCTGCAATTAGAAGAGTGGTACTCATTTAAAATGAAGGAAGGTACGACATGTCCTAATTGTTACAGTACACACCTAGGTTCTAGGCAGACGTGCCTAAGATTTTTAGGTACAGACATTGTCTACAAGACAATTAGAAAAATATTAATAAGATAATGTTTCTGATAAGAATTTGTGCAAGTAATCTTCTGCATCATATTTATCTGCTATGGCAAACAAATTTCATCCAAGATATTCCTACTTTTTGGAAATGTCATTCTTGAGAGATGAGTAATTATAGAATAGATATTTGTTTTAGCAAAAATAACTCAATTTATAGATAACCACCAAATATGTGATAAATCCAACATCTGCCATCATAATGGTACTCAGCCTCTAGTAGACATGATAACTGTGCTAATATCTTAAAACATCTAAATGCTGTCAGAAACAGAGTGATCTAAAACAACTTCAGTTCTGAACCATCAATTTCCATATCTAGAATATCAAGCCTATTAATTTTGCATTGTTTTTACTGCACTTACATATTTTTTCCCACAGGGTAATTAGTTCCTCTCTCCTTTACCTGCTTTTTGGGTTTTTTTCAGCTAAACTGGTGCTTTTGGTATTACATACTAACTATAAAATGGCTTTATTCGAGTGCTGGGTATCTTGTCCTGAGAAAGCAGCAGATCTCATGAAAATGAACATCGGTTGGATTGTTGCACTCTACCTCCTAGTTCCCTTCTCCTCCAAAGAGTAAGTACAATTTGGTAATGAAGATAAGTTTGGAGTCCTGTCTTTCAAATTGAGCTAGCTTGAGCATGGGCTGCCAGACACTGTCCAAAATGCTTGATGATCTTTACCTGTAGTAGGTGATAACCCATAAACAAGTCATCATTTTCACATGCATCTCCTCCTAGCCTGGAATCATTCCTTTCAATTGCTAGTTTTCTTCAGATTGCACATTGACATTATTTTGTGTGCTATTGTCAGATTTCTGTTACATTCACATTATTCTTATTCCCAATAGGTACCAGCAGTAATTCCCTTTGGCTAAGGTAAGATTCTGTTGTTTTATTGCACTGTCTGGTGACTGCCCTTTAAAGATGTGGGTTGTTTGTGTGAAAAGACTCATACAGCTGTACCGATGGAAATTTTAACTATTGGCTGTTTGAGTGAGGTAAGTCAAAGGACAAGGATCAGATGAAAAGCAGGCTACTTGTCTTTCTGGTTGAAATTTGAGTGATAAGCCAACAGCCTAGCTTTTGCACAAAACAGATTACAAAAATGTAGCAGGCAGCCATTCTAACAATCAAGATGGGGAGGAGCTGGAGGAGCCTTGACCATTCCCTCAATAATGCCTTTGTGCAGGAAGGACTTAGCTGACCAGAGAGTATTGATTGACAGCTCTTTACTACTGAGCCTTTGATAACAAATCTAATTTATTCTAATTTGCCAGTATGCTAACAATTACAATGAAGTATCTAACTTGTTCCTTAAGTGGCTTTTCTTAGAAACAAAATTGCTTAATTAACATAGTGAGATATTACTTTATAGCTGCAATTGTTACACTCACTCAAATTTGTCATATAAGTTTGGTAGTGTTTTCCTAGAGAAGCCATCATTGCCATAATTAAGGATAGTGGAAAATGTGGAATGACTCTCAGTTGCAGGTTAAAAACCACCTCTGTAGTTGAGCTGTTTCTGGATGTTAATCTCTGTAGCCAAAAGAAGCCCAGAAGAGAATTGAGTCCTTCCCACACTGTTAGCGGTCATTTGCAAAGGAGGCTTAGCCACTCCTGCCTATAATATTGTTTGCTGGAAATGTTATCCTGCCATTACTGGTACCTAAGGGTGGTGAGTTGTTTGTCTATCTCTTTAGCCTCAACCTGAAGGAGCAGTAGCTAATTTTTCAGTTGGCCCTTGTCTTTGATCTCTGTCCATTTTGACCAGGGTGTTTCCATCGGGAAGGAAAGCTCCTGCTAGCACAGGCTAGCGGTTCCATGCTTAGTTGTTGCTCAGAAAATTAGTGAGGTGAGGAGGCTAAGTATGGGATAATGTGTATGTATGATGCAGGATATTGTCCCTATATGTTCCAGTTACCCACGGCTGACAACTGTTTGTCATCTTTCATGGTGTAGCTCTGTCATTAGGTGTCATTTCCTTACTCTGTTTGATATCCTTACATATATTTTGTGTGGCAAAAAGGCAGTTACAAGGGGGACCAGCAGACATGTTGTTGAAGAATATCTTAAGTTTTACTGAATCTTTAGGTTGCGAAATAATCAACTATAAGAACATTTTGATTCCAATAAGTTAGCCTCTATG